TAAACTTATAACAATGAACAGTGACTCGAAGAGAGAAAGAAGGAGGCGAGGTTAAAGAAAAGGAAATTTGCTGATTGGTTGACATCATAACTAATCTTTTCACATTAATAAATTTGATTCTCAATTGGCTTCATCGATCTATCTATCTATCTATCTATCCATCCCGTGAAATTTGAAGGGTAGTCACATACAGAATATTGTGTAAGCACAGACCATAGCCACACCTTCAAGTGGCTGAGATGCCGAAAAAAAACATCGATATCTGTTGAGATATTCAAGTGTATTAAGACTGTCATATAACTGATAGCTACAGAGGTAAGGGTGTTGTGGTGTGGTTGTATCTACCTGGGTGTTACAACTAAATGTTTAAGACATATACTATAGAAATACATAATCATTGCGTATTTACAGTACAACACCTAGTGAAGGTAGAATTATATATAAATAACATTTTATAATATGGTAAGAATATGAATATAAGATTATTACTGTACATATTGTATTACGAACACCTGATAAATATATTCAGAGTTGTACAGTATATCAGAACACAGTTTGTATAATCAGGAGATATTAGTACATATATAGTACGTAATGAGTACATATTCAGAGCACCTGATAAACATATTTTGATATAATACTTGGAAAAACTTATATAATATGGTAAGAGTAAGTACACAGCAAACACGAAATAAGTAAATATATATAGATTTAAGTAGAAGAGTAATATTTCTAAGTATGTATATATATATATGTATGTATATATATATATATATATATATATATATATATATATATATATATATATATATATATATATATATATATATATATATGTTATACACATACATGTAGACTATACACTCAGGTGATGTAGACACCGCATGCAGAGGAAACGACAATTGTAGATAGAATAAGTTGAGAATATTTGCAATGATGAAGTAAATTAAACTGATAATTTTGGAATAATTTGGGAAAATAAGTAGGAAAATGCAGTGATCAAGGAAAATGGCAATTTTTTTGCCATAATCCGAGGAAAAAAGCAGATAATTTTGCAATAATTCGTGGAAACAAAGTATTTTTTTCTATTCAGGGGAGAACAGCTGGATTTTTACAATAATCAGGAGAAAGCAATATTTTCCCCCCAATAATCAGGGCTTAAAACGGATCCTTTGCAATAATCAAGAAAAAATTGAATTTTTGCATTACTCAGGGAAAATAAAAAAGAAATTTTCCATTAATCTGAAAAAGAGAAAGAATTATTTGTAACATTTAGCACAAGCAGAAGAAAATTAATTTATTAATAAAGACAAAATGCTCTCACTAATTTACACAGGTGAAACTTCCAGGAAAATATAGTAATTACTAAATAAAAGGAAGAAAAATCATACAGGAAATATGACCTCTAGGAAAATTTTTAAGAATTATTAAGTTAAATGACGATCATAATTTTTAGGAAATGATCAGCTATATTTATATTAAAAAGATCAGAAGAAATAACCAGGAAAAATATTGATAAAATATGAAAAAATAACTAATATATTGTTTAGAAAATATGAAACATGACCAGGCAATTAGGCTAAAATTATATAAAAAAGAAGTGGTGGAATGACTGACCAGAAAACTAAATTGAATGTTCAGAAAATGAGATCGAATGGTCGGGAAAATTAACCAGAATACTAAGGAAAATGTTGATAACACTAAAACGAGGAAAAGGAAGAATATGAAGGAAAGCGATTTTGTCACGTCACTAGACAAGAACCGGATGTCAGATTTTTCAAACATCTGTCACGAGGTGTAATTTTACCTGTAATTATCCGGCTGATATTAAAATATAACCTTGATAAGCTTATGTGTTGTTATAATACATACACCCACATACTGTATACACACACAAAAATACATGAGACATATACATTACATACATTATATACAGTGTTTTAGAAAAGTTCCTGTGCACTTACAATAATTAAAAATATAGTTATTTACCTTTTTCTACTTACAATAAAACTAGATATTGTCACAGTTAATGTTGGAAGTGGATATAACAAGGAACAACTATATTGATAATCACAGCTGTACAGGAACTTTTCTAACACCCTGTATATGTATGTTTATTGTATATATAATGTGTAGTAGATGTGATGCTTGTCTTAAAGGCCAAGAGGGGTTATTGTACAAAGTAATAAAAAATGTCTTTGAAACACTCAGTCTTGTGACGCTTCAGGAAAATACTTATTCATTTACTCGGTGTTTTGTTCGTATTGTAATGTTATACCTGTGTAAGGGAGAGAGAGACTGTGTGTGGGTGTGTGTGTGTGTGTGTGTGTGTGTGTGTGTGTGTGTGTGTGTGTAACTTTACTTAGTTGTGTAAATTCCAATGTCTTATAAGAACATAAGAACATAAGAATGGAGGAAACTGCAGCGGGCCTATTGGCCCATACTGGGCAGTCCCGTTTACACCCAACCCCTATTGCTCATATAAGCATCCAACCTATGTTTGAAGCTATTCAGCGTATTCGAGTTAATGATGATATTTGGTAACTTGTTCCATTCATCCACTACTCTGTTTCCAAACCAGTGTTTACCTATTTCACGCCTAAATCTAAATTTGTCTAATTTAAAACCATTGTTCTCGAGTTTGCTCCTGGTTGGATAGTTTGAGTACCTTTGTAATGTCCCCTTTGTTTAGCCCTGACTTCCACTTATACACCTCTATCATGTCGCCTCTCACTCTCCGTCTCTCGAGGGAGTGCAAATTAAGATGCTTTAACCTGTCTCTATACTCAAGGTTCCTAATGCCCTGGATTAGTCTTGTCATTCTCCTCTGAATTCTTTCCAATGATTCTATATCCATCCTGTAATACGGTGACCAGAACTGAACTGCGTAATCCAGGTGTGGTCTCACAAGCGCTAGTCTTGTAACTAACACTCCTTTGTATGAATCCAAGTACTTTATTAGCCTTGTTACGAGCAAAAACACATTGTTTACTTGGCTTGAGGTTCCTACTTATCATTACTCCTAAATCTCTCTCATAGTCGGATTTCTCTATGGCATCGTTGTTCATCTGGTATCTGGTTTCCCTGTTTACATCTCCTATATTGAGTACTTTACATTTGTCCACGTTGAATTTCAGCTGCCATTTTTCAGACTATTTGAAAAATTTGTTTAGATCTTCCTGTAGTTTTGCCGAGTCCTCGTCAGATTTAATAACACGTCCTATTTTAGTGTCATCAGCAAATTTACTTATGTTGCTGTCTATGCCGATATCTATGTCGTTTATGTATATAATAAATAATAATGGTCCAAGTACTGAGCCTTGGGGAACTTCACTTGTGACGTTGCTCCAATGGGACTTAGTGCCGTTAATGCTCACTCGCTGTTTCCTGTCCTGTAACCATGCCCTAATCCATTTAAGGATGTTACCTTTGATGCCATGTGCTTCTACCTTTCTAATTAGTCTTTCGTGGGGGACTCCGTCGAAGGCTTTGCTAAAGTCGAGATATACCACATCATAATTGTGCCCCTCCTCCACCTATTCGAAAACTGAGGAAAAGAATGTTAATAGATTAGTTAGACAAGAACGTCCGCTTGTGAAGCCATGCTGGGATTCATTGATCAATCTGTGCTTCTCCAGGTGATTTCGTATAGAATTTGAAATGATTGCTTCCAGTAATTTGCCTACTATTGATGTTAGACTGATTGGGCGGTAGTTAGAGGATAGTGATCTATCCCCCTTCTTGAAAATCGGTATTACATTTGCTATCCTCCAGGATTCTGGTACTACACCTGTTTTTAAGGACATGTTAAACAAATTTGCTAAGGGCATACTGAGCTCTTCCTTACATTCCTTTAATACTCTGGCAAATATCTCATCGGGACCAGGTGACTTATTAGGCTTTAGTTTGTCTATTTGCTTTCTGACATCGTTACTAGTCGCTACTATCTCGCTTAATTTGTTTTATTCACTATCTCTGAATTGAGTCGGTGCCTCGGGTATCATGTTTAAATTTTCAGTGGTGAAAACTGTTGAAAAATATTTATTGAAATTATTGCTCATTTCTCCGTCGTTATCAGTGAGCTCGCCGGTATCTGACCATATTGGTCCAATCTTTTCTCGTGTTTTAGTTTGATACATTTGGTCGAATCCTTTGGGGTTTGTCTTCGCCTCCCTTGCTATCCTTACCTCATTATTCCTCTTGGCTTTCCTTATCTCGGTTTTAACTATGAAATATAACTATCAATCACATGTGTAGTCTGCCAACCTTTCAGAAAGATGTTTCTAATACAGAATATAGAATATAATGAAGTTAGAGGCTTGTAGGTGGACATTCAGAAGATAGACTAAGACAATGGTGAAAATTTACACAGTAGTGGTTGAGGCTTCCCCACGATGACACCAGATACTCGTGTCTTAGGTGTTGTCATACACCTGGCAGTAAGTTTGTCACCTAACCAAACCTGTGGATGTCATCGCACCAACTGTTTCTTTTCCTTCCTCTTGATTAATATATTGTTCTTGTTGTTTTAATACATTTAGATGCGTCGGGGCCCGGGGTGTTTGAGGGTCGCTCACTGAGTCTTGGAGACAATTGCACTGTTAAAAGTTATGTCTTGGTGTGTTTGTGTCTCAGGTAATATTTTGTCACGATATTTGGTCTCTCATTTAGTTGTGTTGTGTGTTCCGTCTCTCACCTGTTCTTGTATTTATTATCTTCCTCATACTGACATTATTCCATTTCTGGGTTTACCTATGTCTTAGTTTTTGACCATCATTAAGTAAGCATCTCTCCATTACAGTGTTGTGCTATAAGCGACTATGTTTCAGCGCCGTAAGTAACAACTACCAAAACACACTAATGATGTTTGTCTCTTTCTTTGGCTTGTTGGTATATAGTTCACATTATTAAGGCCAGCCCTGCCAGCAGTTATTCTTCTCGTTATTTCATCTGAGTGATCACGTTTCACTGTTGCCAGTCGGCCAGCATAAACATACTTATCATTCAACAATCTCAATTTCTTTATTCTCTAACTGTGTTGCTGTGGTGGAGTCCTGTTGTGGTGGAGTGCTGTTGTGGTGAAGTCCTGTTGTGGTGGAGTCCTGTTGTGGTGGAGCCCTATTGTGGTAGAGTCCTGTTGTGGTGAAATCCTGTTGTGGTGGAGTTTTGTTGTGGTAGAGTCCTGTTGTGGTGGAGTTTTGTTGTGGTGGAGTCCTGTTGTGGTAAAGTCCTGTTGTGGTAGAGTCCTGTTGTGGTGGAGTCCTGTTGTGGTGGAGTCCTGTTGTGGTAAAGTCCTGTTGTGGTGGAGTCCTGTTGTGGTGGAGTCCTGTTGTGGTAAAGTCCTGTTGTGGTAGAGTCCTGTTGTGGTGAGTCCTGTTGTGGTGGAGTCCTGTTGTGGTAAAGTCCTGTTGTGGTAGAGTCCTGTTGTGGTGGAGTCCTGTTGTGGTGGAGTCCTGTTGTGGTAAGTCCTGTTTGGTAGAGTCCTGTTGTGGTGGAGTCCTGTTGTGGTGGAGTCCTGTTGTAGAGTCCTGTTGTGGTGGAGTCCTGTTGTGGTGGAGTCTGTTGTGGTAAGTCCTGTTGTGGTAAAGTCCTGTTGTGGTAGGAGTCCTGTTGTGGTGGAGTCCTGTTGTGGTAGAGTCCTGTTGTGGTGGAGTTTTGTTGTGGTGGAGTCCTGTTGTGGTAGGAGTCTGTTGTGGTGGTCCTGTTGTGTCCTGTTGTAGAGAGTCCTGTTGTGGTGGAGTCCTGTTGTGGTAGTCCTGTTGTGGTAGTCCTGTTGTGGTGGAGTTTTGTTGTGGTGGAGTCCTGTTGTGGTGGAGGTCCTGTGTGGTGGAGTCCTGTTGTGGTTGAGTCCTTGTAGTCCTGTTGTGGTAGAGTCCTGTGGTAGAGTCCTGTTGTGGTGGTTGTGTCCCTGTTGTGGTAGAGTCCTGTTGTGGTAGTGGAGTCCTGTTGTGGTGGAGTCCTGTTGTGGTAGAGTCCTGTTGTGGTGGAGTCCTGTTGTGGTAGAGTCCTGTTGTGGTAGAGTCCTGTTGTGGTAGAGTCCTATTGTGGTGGAGTCTTGTTGTGGTTATAGTCAGATCAAACCAAGCCAGTAGAACAACATACATGCCAGTATCTATGAGGTTATTGTTTGGAAAATGTGAGATTGCATTATCGCCTCAGGGGCTATTCTTGATATTGCACATGATATTACCTTGATCACTGTCTGTATGTGTCATCAGTTCTCTGGTATGGAAGCTTTGGTCTTGGCGGGAGGTGTAATGATTGTTTATTAGACCATAGCTTACAGCCCAGAAAGAACAGCACATATAACAGTAAGTAGATAAGCAGGTGTACACCCACGCAAATTGACACACCCTACAGTGAGATTACGACCTGACCCAGGAAAGGTCACGGCTACAAGGTACATGAGTTATCCCGGCATTATGACCGTGTTAAAGAAACTCACCTGACCAAGACACACCCGGGTGGTAATAATTAGGAAACATTACCCACCGGCAACATTACCACGCACCTGGGCAAACACAGCTGTCCAGATCTAACCAGTTTAGTGTTAATTAGGAGAGGTCATCTGCCGGCTTGTCATCGCCAATATAAGGAGCCTGCAGCTCCTTCCACGGGCATTAGCATTCGGATTAATATTGTAACAGGGAAGGGACCGACAGCTCCTTCCCAAAGGGAAACTTCCCTCCCCAGCACCGAGCCCCAGCTAGCAGATTCTCCCACAGGAGACATAGTCCAGCACTCTCTTCAGCAGCATCTGCTGGGCCTCCCTCAGGCCACGCGTGAGTCATTGTGAGAGCGATCCCTAAGGTGAGTTACTTACGGTGGGAAGTGCATCCATTTCATGTTTGTGTCCGAGAGTCATTATCCAGTTACGTAAATATAATGATCTATTAATGTGTCTGTGTCATTGAGTTGAATAATAAATAGCGGTACTTAGAATTGGTGTTTAGAAGATTTCCCCTAAGAATCTATTAACAGTTAAATAATTTATCGGCCACGCTACCAAACTTCTTCACTTTACAATCCCACAACTATAAATTCTTCCTATATCTTCTATACGAGTTTTACCTCATTATATGTTGGAATCTTGCTGTGGTGGAGTCCTGCTGTGGTGGAGTCCTGCTGTGGTGGAGTCCTGCTGTGGTGGAGTCCTGCTGTGGTGGAGTCCTGCTGTGGTGGAGTCCTGCTGTGGTGGAGTCCTGTTGTGGTGGAGTCCTGTTGTGGTGGAGTCTGCTGTGGTGGAGTCCTGCTGTGGAGTCCTGTTGTGGTGGTGGAGTCCTGTTGTGTGCAGTCCTGCTGTGGTGGAGTGGAGTCCTGTTGTGGTGGAGTCCTGCTGTGGTGGAGTCCTGTTGTGGTGGAGTCCTGTTGTGGTGGAGTCCTGTTGTGGTGGTGTCTTGTTGTGGTAGAGTCTTGTTGTGGTAGAGTCTTGTTGTGGTAGAGTCTTGTAGTGTGGAGTCTTGTTGTGGTAGAGTCTTGTAGTGTGGAGTCTTGTTGTGGTAGAGTCCTGTTGTGGTGGAGTCCTGTTGTGGTGGAGTCCTGTTGTGGTGGTCTTGTTGTGGTGTCTTGTGTGTGGAGTCTTGTTGTGGTGGAGTCTTGTTGTGGTAGAGTCTTGTTGTGGTAGAGTCTTGTTGTGGTGGAGTCTTGTTGTGGTGGAGTCTTGTTGTGGTGAGAGTCTTGTTGTGGTAGAGTCTTGTTGTGGTGTCTTGTTGTGGTAGAGTCTTGTTGTAGTAGAGTCTTGTTGTGGTGGAGTCTTGTTGTGGTGGAGTCTTGTTGTGGTGGGTCTTGTTGTGGTGGAGTCTTGTTGTGGTAGAGTCTTGTTGTGGTAGAGTCTTGTTGTGGTAGAGTCTTGTTGTGGTGGAGTCTTGTTGTGGAGTAGTCTTGTTGTGGTAGAGTCTTGTTGTGGTAGTCCTGTTGTGGTAGAGTCTTGTTGTGGTAGAGTCTTGTTGTGGTGGAGTCTTGTTGTGGTAGAGTCTTGTTGTGGTAGAGTCTTGTTGTGGTGGAGTCTTGTTGTGGTAGAGTCTTGTTGTGGTAGAGTCTTGTTGTGGTAGAGAGAGTAAATATGTTGGGTAGATGAGAGAGTATTAGCGATGAAAGCATCAAGTCAAAATATATGAAACAAAAAGCAGACAGCTTGTATTAAGCCTCTTGTAACACCTGTATCAGGCACAAAAGTTCATTAACTGTTACGCTCAGGTAAAATGAGTGAGTGTTTTGTCGCTAAAACTCTCATGAAAATTCATTTTGTCTTATGCTTGCATTACCTTGGAGCACCATCAGTACAAATAACAACTACTGGTGTTTCTGAAACAACGAGTGTAATTAATTAATTATATATATATATATATATATATATATATATATATATATATATATATATATATATATATATATATATATATATATATATATATATTCACTAAGCGTACATCGGCTGTTACACCAGACATGTTACTGTATAATCAATGATCACAAGTTTGTCACGTCTACAACAAAAATCTAAGTTACCAAAAAAGATTTAATTTAATGGAATATTCAGTGCAATAAAGAAAAACTCAAAAGACTGTAATATTTGCTTAAAAATTATAAACGAAAAAAAAAAATTATGAAATTTTGTTACATAAAAGAAAATTAGCTTCTAGGTTCTGAGAAAAGACCACAAGTTGTATTTTTTTTACCGTCGACACCATAACATGTACACACACACACACTATATAAACCCCAGAGAAAACTGGACATCTGACACACTGATGTTTGACGTCTTACTATTTTCCTTTGTGTATTCTTTTCTATAATGCATTTTTCTCCTCTCTCTCTCTCTCTCTCTCTCTCTCTCTCTCTCTCTCTCTCTCTCTCTCTCTCTCTTTTTCCCCATCCTATCACTTTTTTCAACCGTCCAACTCTTAACAGCTGCTGTGTGGCTGCAACAAGGAACTGCAGCACCCGTCTAATGTTGTACCAGACGCTGAGGTGCTGCCAGACTTGGAGATCAACAGATAGATAAATAGAGAGATAGAGAAAATAAAAGTGAGACAAAGACTGGGAGAGAGTCTTCAACAGCTGGTGTGGCCGCTACAAGATGCAGCAGCCTTCGACAGGTGTTCCAAAGATGGGATGTTGTGTACTGTACCTTTGGGGATCCACTGAAGGACGATGGTGAGATCAACACAATACAGGACTGGATTTCATCGTTAATAATAATAACAAAGAAAAATCACCAGAAGTACATAAAGCAGTATATATATATATATATATATATATATATATATATATATATATATATATATATATATATATATATATGTATAAACGTGTGTACATAGCCTCCGCTCGCGTGTGCGTGTGTGTGTGTGTAGGTGAGCGTGTGTAGGTGAGCGTGTGTGCAGCTCCCGGTCACAGGTAGCCGCCAGTAGCCTCGGGCATTAGCTATACCAAGAAGAAATAACCTTCCTTCTCAACACACCCAACCCTCTGTCATTAACTCCCTTACCTTCACACATTACTCTATTACCTCTACCCATTAGCCCATTATCTACCCTATTATCCAATTAGAGACTCCTACAGGTGTTTATAGTTACATGGAAGGTGACTTATGGTACTTGCCAGGTAAATGCATTGATAAAGTCATAGGTAAGATGCAGAGAAAGGTGAGAGATGAATGAGGGAAGTGAGAGGTGAGGAAAGTGAAGTATGAGGCAAGTGAAAGGTGAGGTGAGAGATAGAGGGAAGAAATTTGAGATGAGAGAGATAGACGAAAGTTGGGGTAAGAGATATAGAGAAGTGAGAGAAAAATGAGATGATATACTAACTGCAGTGAAAGATAAAGGGAACTGAGACAAAAGTGTAGGCAAGAGATAGAACTGAGAGAGAGAGAGAAACTGGCAATTGTGTATATTAAATTTCCCTTGAAATAAACATTCTATCTTTCTATCTATCTATCTATCTGACCATCACCTAGGTCAGAGAGGACGTGCACTGGGGTAGGTAAACGCACTCAAGCAATGATGGTATTTGGTCGACCATAACTTTAGTATAATGTGTGTTTATATGTTCCATTGACTCCAGGAAGTCCATAATTTTCCTCTTGGCATATTTTCTGACTCGCGCGTGTCTGTCATAGTGAGTTTCCTGTTGTTGTCTTCACTCATCCTTATATTATGCATTTTTATTACATTCAGATCATACAACATTTTATTTGAATAAAATGTCACCGATCCACAGAAGTTGCTTCAGTAGGGTCACCGTACCAGGTATTGACTGCATGACATCATTTCAACAACGGCAGTAGCGTCACATTAATAGCATCAAGTCCGCCACAGCACTACAACAGCACCAGCAGAAACGTCACGGTATGAGCATCTACAAGAAAAAAGGTGGAAAATAAATTAAGAGAATCCAAAAGGTTTCCCTGAAGAATACCGCCATCCAGCTCAGAATCTTTCCTACATCAAGTACAGTAGACGCAGAGGAAGATAAAGACATAAAGAGAGGTAGAGACGGAGAAGATTAACGTTTAAAAGTGAATAAAATAATAAAACTCACAACTCTACCTTAGGGAACAACAACACCGTCTCGGAAGCTTTCCTGGTTTGAAGAAGAACAGTTGATCAAAATGACACATTGTTTAGCCAAATGACCGGAAGAGAGAGACAAAAAGTGTATTAGAGATAGGGAAAATTAACGATGTAAATATGAAAAAAAGAAAATAAAACGACTCACAAAAGAGTTACATGAGAAACACAATCACTTTGAAGCTTTCCTTTCATCAAAATAATAACCTTGTCTAGCCAAGTGGCCTAGAAAGAGACACTAACAGACATAAATGTTAAAGAAGTAAAATACAGAAAAATTACCAATTCAAGTGTAAAGAAAATCAATAAATAAATGAAGACCCAAGAAGTTACCCTGAGGAACGCCGCCAGAAGCCTCCCTGCCATCAAGCACAACTGGTCATAATCACACGCCTGTCTGGCCAAATGACCTCCATGCATGCAATCTTACATTTCTTATTGGCATTCGAACTACTGAGGCACTGACGCACTTAAATAGGTAGTCCCTGACGCTTCACAACTTGAGAGGCAGCTATGAGACGTAACAATGCATCTACGAGTCATCAGGTTGGTTTCTTCAAAATTTCAGATTAGAGGTACGAGACCTGACTGTCATCATCATCATCATCAAAAAGATGGTTCATTTCTTTGTCCACCCTCTTCGTTTTTTTCTTATTATTTATCCTCCTTTAGTTTCTCTACCTCTCGTCTGATCTTTTCTTCCTCCGGTTTTTTCTCTTCGTCTGTGTCATGTGCCTTACTACCTTCATCCGACACTCACGCGATCGTTCAGAGAGAGAGAGAGAGAGAGAGAGGGGAAATTAATAACAAAATAAACTCAACATTTTCTCGTCAGCAGAAGATGTGACTACGACAAATATATGGACTGCACTTGAACGAGGTGGCAACTCACGCCGGCTGCTGCTGTTTTCCAAGTTGTGACCTTAATAGTCGACCATTAGACCCCAGCACATAATAAGTGTAGAGGTTGTCATGGTGAACATACAGTATATACAGTAAGTGTGAATATTGTTACTCTCTTACCTTTTAAAGTCATACGCGGCGGGTGGTAGCCTTGAACTCTGACCGTTTGACCTTCAAAACATACCATCTCCCTGTTGGGCGCTGTAATGCTTCTGCGGTTCACCTTACACAGAATGTAAGGGGGTGCCCGATGAAGTAGCCCCTGTGCTGCGTGAGGCGAATCTTAAATCTTAAGGTTGTCATTGTGAATATATACGCAAAGTGTAAACACTGTACACTAGTTCTTCCGCTTTTTTTCATATATACTGTTAGTATTTATTATGACAAAGATAACATACAGTAGTTACAATGTTTTCGAGTACACTTTACTAAGACATACAGTATACCACACTAAAACGTACACTATACATGGACATACACCACTAAGACATACACCTCTCTAACACACACGTTACTCTGAGACATACGCCACACATCGACATACACCACTAAGACATACATCATGGAGGGATATACACCACCCTATCATACACCATACATGGACATACACCACCCTATCATACACCATACATGGACATACACCACCCTACCTTACACCATACATGGACATACACCACCCTACCATACACCATACATGGACATACACCACCCTATCATACACCATACATGGACATACACCACCCTACCTTACACCATACATGGACATACACCACCCTACCATACACCATACATGGACATACACCACCCTATCATACACCATACATGGACATACACCATCCTATCATACACCATACATGGACATACACCACCCTACCTTACACCATACATGGACATACACCACCCTATTACCATACATGGACATACACCATATCATACACCATACATGGACATACACCCTATCATACACCATATATGGACATGGACATACACCACCCTATCATACACCATACATGGACATACACCACCCTATCATACACCATACATGGACATACACCACCCTATCATACATACATGGACATACACCCTATCATACACCATACATGGACATACACCACCTATCATACACCATACATGGACATACACCTATCACACCATATGGACATTCACCACCCTATCATACACCATACATGGACATACACCACCCTATCATACTCCATACATGGACATACACCACCCTATCATACACCATACATGGACATACACCACCCTATCATATACCATACATGGACATACACCACCCTATCATACACCATACATGAACATACATTACCCTATCATACACCATACATGGACATTCACCACCCTATCATACACCATACATGAACATACATCACCCTATCATACACCATACATGGACATTCACCACCCTATCATACACCATACATGAACATACATCACCCTATCATATACCATACATGGACATACACCAGATGAACGGTATACGTTATTCAACAGTGTTGTGGCGTCTATTTTTTATCTAGTGAAGAAAAGTTGTGCAGTATCATAATTATCCAGGAGTGTTGGCGGGCCCGCGCCTGTGTCCTTGTCATTGTGAGGGCCGCTGTA